CCCGCGATCTCATTGTTCGGGTAGGTCTTGTGCGTTGCCAGCGTGCTCGAGAAGGTCCCCCCGCAACTCCAGGAAAGCCAAGCCACTCAAACTTAACCCAAACATGAATCCATGCCAGGTTGCCCCAGATGACGGCCTGTCCCCGCACACCTCCGGCACCACGGTGGGCAGCAGGAGGTTTCATATTAATATGGGCCCTGTAAGATTTCGAAATTCTGCACTAGATTAGATTGCAGAGCAGTCTCACTCAGCGAGAGAACCCGACCACAACTAGTTTTAGGAGGAATACCGGCAACCACATAACAAGAAATCGTCAAGGCGCAGAACATGCAGGGACCTGGTGTCCCAGAGTGCTTACATAGCCGGCTCTCGTTTCCTTCGCCACGAAGTCCCCTCGAAAGGAGGAGCTCCTTGACAAAGGGGATGAGCATCATCGTCTCCAGAACACGCTTCGGCCTCAGACCTGACCATGTACGCCTTCCGGACCCTGCTTGTGGTAACTTATCGGTGCCAGCATGAGCTCTGGAAGTTGGGACCTTCTTGGTAAGTGGCTCGATGCAAGAGGAGTTGAACTTGTTGAAGTTGAAAATGGGTCTCTCCGAAGCCTCGCATCGCTTGATGCCTCCGCGCCCCCTCTCGTGCCTAAACTGATCACTTCGCCTTGCATGCTCAGAAGTCAGCACCTACAAGTTGGATGTGGATCCATTGATGCTTGGAGCTCAGTGAATTTAGCCCAAGGATTTGCTTTCGGTGTGTGCTTTCGGTCGGGATGCAGAGTTTAAGGCACATGGTATACCTGCTCATGGCACAACTTCAGCACATGGGGTGAATCCCGAAACTTGAACAGGGTATTGGGCTTTTGGTCACGGGATTGGCGCTAGCTTGGGGTTCGCAGTTTGCAGCACGGCCTGCATTCATCACCAAGGCCGTTGGTCATCGCTGGAGGCGTTATTTTAGCCGCCGCGTGCCGAGCAGCAGTGGGAATGGCACGAAGACCAAACCTAGCAGTACTCTTGGAATTATCTTCAAAACTGTCCTCTGCGACTTTCATGTTCGTCGTCATCACCACCATCACAAAAATCGTCATCGTCGTCCTCATGATCATCACAGTACCTATATACTATACCATCATGGTGTCTGAGGCGTGTGCCGGAATGGTCAATGCCATTGCCTTTGTGATCGTACCGCGGACCAGCAATTCAATTCAGCCTAGACCGCCGGCCCGGAACCTTTGACTGTGTATTGCGAAAGACGGACCTTGAGCCTGCAGACCTGAACACCCCTAGCATCCCCTAGCTAATGGAGCCTGACTTTGCCCGATGACTGTTGGCTTCCTTAGCAGCCCCGATTGATGCCTAGAGGCTTTACAGCAGGTGCTGCTGCGGAGGAGAGCACACAAGAACAGACAGAATGCCTGCGCAATTCCTGAAAACAGGACCATCGAAGGTTAAACCCCGAGCCTCGAAGATGTTATATACACCCGAGTTCATTCGTGCCGACACGTTGAGGGGTTCAGGCGATTGAGGCCGGGGGGGGGCCCAGGACAGGCGTCGTTGCGAGCAGCTCCTTGCTTTCAGCTGACAGTCGTGTCGTTGTTGGGCAATTTTCGGGCGAGTGGCAGAGGGCTGTGAAACCTGAAAGACTTTGCACCCGCAGGCAGAGTCGCTGGTGACCCACGTGACTGGAAGCGTGTCGAAGGCCCCCCGAAATCTTCTGCATCGTCTCTATCTGCGAGAGAAACACGGGTGGACTCAAGCTCGAAACCTCTAGCACAGTTGATGCAGAAGAACATCTTGGGTCAAAGCCCATGCCTGGTCAATTGAAGTGGTTGGACCATCAGGGTTTCCTCAAGCCCTGATAGCCGTGTGAGATGTGCCAGCCAATCAAAACCCAAGTCCACTCCATGAGGATAGAGAACACCCAGCTTTGGCGCACAGGTAGCCTTGCACAGTGTAGCGGAGCAGACGCAAGACGCGACGCACGTGCTGCTGCCGGAGCCTTCAGAAGCTTTCGAGGGCTCAGGCTCACGGCTGACACGTTCGTGCGTGAAGTGTGGATAAGTTACGGGGATTCGGAGATGTTAGACATTGAATATCACTGATTGGGTGATTGGACTGCAACTGCGCAAGGCGTCACACTGGCAGCGCCTGTCGGAACGAAACTGTTGTGGGTGCTGCCATCTTCTCGTGAGACCGAAAAAGTTGAGAAGTACAAGGATTGAGACCACGAAGCATACTCAGTCCAAAACCTGCGAGTGATTGATGGAGCGAAGCTTCGTTGCGATGAGGTTGGTTGTCTTCTTCATCCTTGGCAGCGTGGCCTCATGCTCGGTGTGGATGTCCTGTGTTGCGGAGGGACACCCAACCATGTGACCATGATCCGTGGCGAGAAACCATGGAAAGTCTCACAGACGCATTTAATCTTTTCCCATGGTGTTGATAGACACTGATGGGCATGGTCTACATGGAGTCAGAAGATCTTGGATCTGTTGCCCCTCTAACTGTCATCACCTCGGATAGAATCTCCAAGATGTAGCACATCCGTGACGCATAGCATGATCGAGGCCTACCCGCACCACAAGATGTGTCTAGCATGTCGATGGGATGCCTCCGATAAGGTGCTTTGGGTGGTCAAGCTCCCCTATCAAAGGCTTCTGAAAGAGGACGTTCCTGTAAGTAACTGGAGGCACATTACAACCCAAAAGCACTGACAAGGGCCTTGAGGCCCCGAAAGCCTGAAGCTCGTCACTGTTCCGGTTCTTGTTCCTGCTATCTTGTTGCATCCTGTTTGCTACTATCCCACCACTGCAGCTATCAGCGCTTTCGTTCTCTCCCCATGATCAACAGCAACTCCGAGTTTTCCGGCTGCTTCATCCGGCGCAGTGCGGCGCTGGCCCAAGCTCGGAGGTGAAGTGCTCTCGGGTTCTTCCAAATCAGGGTTCTCTACAGCTATTCAAGTCTCAGGGTGGCATGCATGCGCCGAGCGGCATGACGAAGACCATGGACATTGTTATGACGGAGTTGTCCACTAGGCGCTCACTTGTCGCGCAGATTCTGTGTCTGTCTTTGTCTCTGTCTCTTTGTCTGTGTGTGTGTTCCGATGTGCAATTTGGTATACTTTGGGTCTGGTACTGAACCGACCCAGTCATCACGCCAGCCCAGGTGAAGATGGCAGACATGGGCTACGGAATTGCCATGACGAGTTCGTCATTCCTCCTGGCCGGAAGCTTACTCTCCTGGGCTCTGCGGGAGCTTCGCGATTGTAGAGTCTAACTGTCTGGGATCGTAATGTTGTCGGATTCTCACCTTGTTGCGTCGGTTCTGCAGAGCCGTGCCCGAACTTGTCGTCGGGTTCTAATGTGGTTCGTCGTCAGATGGTTTTCAGGTTCGCCAAAGCATGGTTCTCTCATCCATCGCGCACGTGGAACTCGTATGTCGGACTTATGGGCACAAGGCTTACTAACTTACGCAAGGCCAGTGTCAAGGTTATTACAATAAGCCCGATGGCTTGCTCACCTCCCCAAGATCCAACAAAGCTGCTGCATGCAGATGCATGTTTGCCGCAGCATTCAATCACAACAACGGTACGTACGGGCGTGAGTGTGTGTGTGTGATTGTGTTTACATGTGCATGTGGGTGGGACGTGAGGGGATTCACGCCTCCTTTGGGAGGGATGATGACATGCATTCACAGTGGGAGCTGTCTTTGTCGTAAAATTCTTGAGTTGTCGTTGCGGCATGGTTCGGGAATAACGGCTAGTTATATTAGAGACAAGCCCGCGATTGATCAAAGAGATGCGCGTGAATTATCAAGAACATGCGCGGGAACTGTTATTCACATGTGCAGGTTGTGTTTGGGGTTTAGGGTATAGGGTTTAGGAAATCCGTTGCACGTGTCTAAAAACACTTTTCCATGTGCCAACAGCCTGTTCTCGCTAGATCCGGCGCAAGTGCTTGAGAACGCCGTTCCATGTGTTGAACCATGGCGCCTGAAAAACATCACCCCATTCACGTTCGCAAACCTCAACGCACAAACCCAAACCCAGCATTGAGGGTCCTTTTCACAAGCAACTAGAGTTCAAGAGCGCAAGAAGACGAAACAGAGCTACCAAGAGCTGTAGAGCAGCACGGTCTTCCGAGGGGCCTTCGTCGAACACTATTGTCACTATTGAGAACCGAACGCCACCGTTCTTCGTCCATGCATCGGCGATGCCACTGACCTGACCGGTGTTGGCACGTCTGGGTGTGATATGTCCTGGCAACCGGCAATCCTGGATCCTGCGATAAATAGCCCAACTTCCCAAGCCCAAAGTCGGCATGGACACGGGCAAAAATGTGTGACCGTCCAACGGGCGAGGTGTTGGCAATGCTCCTGTACCACAGCAGCCAGGAGCTGCACCCGACAGAACACGCTAAACTTGAGCGTCTGCGACTTACTGCAAGTAGCATTTGCGATGTGCATTTCAGGCTATCAATGAATTTGCTTGTTTGCTTGTTCTTAGAGTCCGATGTTCGCGACGTGGCCAGGAGCTGTCGGCATACATCCTTAGTCTGGCCCCGGACTCATTCACCACATTGAAGATGCTGCTTCTGAGGTGTTGTAGTCGGCCGCAAACTGGAGCAGGGATGGCCAGGTGTCGGTGGACCGATGACAGCCCCGCCGTCTGTCCCTATACGGTCACTGCGCCTTATTGCGCAACTGCCGGCTGGGGTATCCACAAGTTTGAGAAGCTAACGGGGCTCCCGAAGAGCCGAGAATAATCGGAAGCTCGTTGCCAAGACTTCAGAACTCCCCGCCAAACGCCTTCCACCGAAATTCCCCGGGAACGCATGTCATCGAGAGCAGTAAAGCCGATTGCGAAGCCAACGCGTGATTCACAGTAGTTGGTCAACCTCCGGCCATTCCATGCCATACCTCACAGCACAATCTGATGCAACATCCTGGCACTCGCAAGTTTTGTCTTCGGCCCTCGCCCAGGCCTGTGGGCTGCAGAATGGTATCATGTCCTCCTACAGCGGTTCAGCCATCCGCACCACGCACATGACGGGCATCGCCACGGACATCGGTCTCATCACCGGGAGGCTTCGAGTTCACGGTTGTAAATCATCCCGACAGCCCTGCTTCAGAAACGTCAAGGCGAGTGGTTCGCCCAGAGGGTTTAAGCCATGCAAGCTGCTGCACCTATTCACCCTCACATGAGTCGTCGCACGTGCCAGACGGAAGCCGCAAGCAGGCAGTTGATGTCCTTCTTTCAGAAGCGGTGCTTCCGGCGTTGCCGATGCTGCGAGCATCGCAAGCTCCTGGGCTGGCTTCAGAACGAGACTCTTGAAGAATTGGTAAGATGATGGCAGAACGAGAATCTTGCCGTGTACTCAACGGAAAGAGAGGCTATCATCAGCGTGCTGCCATGGCGTAGTCGAACATAGAGCCAGAGCGAGAGAAGCGCGGGCTGGGAAGCACCACATGCCCCGATGCTGCAGTCCCGCACAGGGTCGCAGATGAAGAGGCTGGAGACGAGAGGCTTGCCGGGTCGGGTGAAGTTCACTCCCGCAGACAAATCAGCGTGATAAGATGTTTGCTTTTCCTGCGGTGATCTCACAGTGGGATGGACGTGTTGTCCGACTTTCGCACTCGAGACCAGACAAGTCACCACTGAGCATGAACAAGGCTGTACCAGAATTAGCTGGCAAAGCCACACGCCGTGTTCTCGACAGTTCAGTGAGCTTCTTCGGAGCAGGAAGCTAATGCTTCTGGTGCTTCTCCTCTTCAGCTTTCTCGCAGGAGCATTGTTCTAGCCTGGGATCTGCAGTAAGATGCAGTACTGTAGGCTTTTGGGATCTCCGGCGTTCAATTCGATCTCCCGTGGCTTGGGTGCTGGGCGTTCCTTCACAAAGTTCAGGGCTCGCAAACATCGCCGCAGTCAGGCAATGTCTTGCTTGATGGTGGACCACTAGATTCACTCGATTCAGAACAAGCCAAGCAGTCATCGTATGCGCTCTTCACACATCTCAACAGCTGTTAGGCGACAGTGCTGCGGAGGTCTGCAAATGGCACGGATGGTGAGCGTTCAAGCGTAAAAAGAAAATCTGAAGTCAACTGCCAGGCTACTCTACATCTACATCTAACCTATTACCACCCCCCAAACCGTAAACCTGAGGCCTTGTCGCCCATCGGAAAGAAGGAAATCTTTTCCTGCCCCAGGAGTCGCAGCGGGAAGCGCTCTCGCAACCGTGGCTGCCGAACTCAGCTTGCTGGTGCCCGGTCTTGAGCAGATATATCAGGTCTATAGTCGAGGGCTCTCTTGGTAAGCAATTAGGTTGCACCGGTGTGTCGCTTGATGTCAGTAAGGTTTGTATGTGCGGAGTGGGTATTTTGTGACAGGCCGAGCCGGTGCGGGTGGGGAGAGGGAGTACGATACAGCACAGCTTCGGTTTAAAGCAAGAGGCCGTGAGGCGAAAGGTATCAGGCTAGAGGAGCACGTGTTTGGGGAAGCTTCATCTGCGACTTGCCACATCGTTGGTGCAGGTGCCAGCCATTGTCAGCTTCGTCGCCGGTATTGCGTACATGATCTGGCAGCACAACCGAGCGGAGTTGATAGACCAGGCTGGTGCCACGAATTGAATCCTGGCCGATGCAAGTCAGCAAGCTGCGACTTAAGCTCCCGGCATCGAAGAGCAGCTCTCGGGTAGGGTAGGAAGTCCATAGAGGTTGTGACAGTGAACACTTTGGCCAATTGTATTCATGGATGTTGCAGAGTTGCATGTGCAAAGCTTCAGGTTCGTGGAGGTTCGGTGTTCGATGGCCCGGGAAGCCCGAGCAATTCTACAAGTTTGCTTACGAAGACCTGCAAAACCTTCTGTCTATCACAACCGGCAGTTGATCTGATCATGCGCATGCCTCTTCCTGCAAGCCTTCATTTCAGTGACAGGCAGCGGAGGTGCAGCTTGGCTGCACACACCGAAACCATCACGCCATCTCAACGAAGACCACCCGCGGGGGTGATAAGGCTCCACTGAATCTTTCTGGCAGAGTCTTCAAAGCCAGGAAGCTTGCAAGGTCCAGGGCTCTTGGCCAAAGCCTCTCAACACCGGACTTCAAGCAGAAATCTCTTAAACCCCACGCCAAGCCTCGTCAGCTTGAGAGGACATTTCTAGAAAGGAGAAGTATAGCTCCACACGAGCCGCATCCGCAAGCCGACACGGCTTAGATGGAGTCCCTTCACTGGCCATGCAGATTTGGCACGCAAGCGACACAGCGTGCATGAATGTGGGGCCATATACAGAGTGGCAGTACATTTCACATTCGTTTCAGGACCGCTTCAAGGCGAAGCGCTGTCAAAACTCTCCCGAGCTTTTCTGCGGCCTGTTGCGAGCCCCGCTCGCTGAAACCAAGGCCCGACCCGGATTCGCCAACCGCTCAGCCGCTGAAGTGCGTCGGCAGCTGAGAATATCCAAACAAGCCCACCCTCAACTAAAATCAGAGAATCCGCTGCAGCCTTCCCCAGCTCTCGCAGCTGACCTGGTAGGGAAAATCTCGGCGCATTCTACAAATAGCAGCCTCCATCTCAGGTTGTCGTCAGAGTTTATAAACTCGTCAGAGACCATCTCTCGCGGGTGTTCTGCGTTTAGAGGTATCCGGCGAAGCAAGACTTCTAGCCTTCTGCAGGGATACTCGGCCACAGATCTGCGAAATGTCACGGAGTAGCTGAGTAGCCCGAAGTGGTGGGAGGGCGAAAAGCCGGGAGGAGCCGTGTGTGGACAGAAGAATTTGCAAATTTTTATCAAGTGGGAATTTGTGGAAACCTACGTCCAGTAGCTTGTGAAAGCTGTGCTGCAGTCGGTGAGTAGGTGTCGTTTCCTCTGCTGCAACAAATGTTCTTGAGAACTCGGCACCTAGATGGCCCTACGAACCCTTGATTGTTGGCTTGGAGGGTTTGACTGGCCGCAGGAAATCTGCTGCGCTCTTAGCTAGGATGGCTAGGAACGTACCGATCGACTTTGTCCACCGCCCTTTTCGGCTTCACTTCACAAGGTGGCAGTGGCAATTTGCAGATGATGCCCGCTTGCTAGCATGTCCAGAAGTATATGAACTGAACTCTGTTACAGCTGCGCATCGCTTCTTGATGCGCTTATCACTTATCACTGCTACCGTTATGAACCGTGGATGCGAGGTCGCTGCTACAGAGATGGAGCCTCCGAGGTCCCGGGGGTGCCTTTGCAGGGGTGGTATTGGTCCAGTGGCACGAGGGGGACTTCGATTGCGGTTCCAACCTGGAGATTCCTCCTAAAAGGGCACTGGTGCATCTTCATTGCGTCCGAGCGAAAGACTGTCAGTGATAAATGCAGTGTCTTCGTTGTGCCCAAGCGAAATACTTGGTGCCTCATCCTGCAGCAAACCTTCAGGCAAGCAGACTTGCCGAATCTGCCAAAAGGGCGGCTTTGCTGCAAATGAGGGTTGGGTTCGGGCCGGAAGCTTTGAAAATGGTACATCCCAGATTCTGTGCAATCGAACTTCGGAGTTGCAGCTTTCAAGTGCATTCAGGATTTGGGGAAAGGGCCGTTGAGTGGTCAGCTCTGGAAGCAGAAGCTGCGTTCTGCAGGCCAGAGACCGCGGCAGACGAAGCAGAAGGCCCCTGAATCCAGGATCGCCTGGCTTCTTGGACAGCTTGTCATCTCGATTGCTGGCGACCACAGAACTCTTTACAGGGCGCTTGGCACACGGAAGCTCCTGTGCCAATTTGGACCACATGTCACAACCCAGAAGGTTCGAACAGTGGCCAGCCAACCCCCTCGCTATGAGGTTATGAGACATGATATGGTCGAAAATGCGCAAGAGCTTCCCTGACCCCCAGCCGCTCCCATCCATCTCCCCCAGCAGCTCCCATCCATCTCCAAAGGAGACTGGGGAGTTGAGCCCCTAGCTGGGATTAGGGCTCCTTTTGAAATTGGCGATAGCGTTTTCAGGGGACCTTCCGCGGAAAGGAAGGTGAGTTGCCTGCTCGGTGCATTTGAAAGGGAGCCTGTGTGCGTCTGTCGTTCGTTGGATTTACCAGTTTATACACCAGTATTGGCAAAATCTGCGTTCCTGAATCCTTCGACGTACTTGCAATGCCATATTCTGAAAGGTTTGTCGACGAAGATCTGCGAAAACGCTGTTGCTGCCCGGATCCTGAGAAGAACCCTTACCAGGTTTGGGGTATAGCAAGTACAGTGTATGGAATATACGCACCATGAGCCAGACACTGCATGCAGACTCTGCAGCTCTCACGAGTACAACTTTTGGAAACACCATGCCGAATGATTCTCGAAGGTCCCTGCTCGAAACTGACATCCAAGGTGTGCTGAGCACCTCTCAGGCGCAAAAGAGGGGAATGTTTTTGATTGTTCAGCATCGTTACATAGTTCAGGTCTAAGGAGAGATGTTGATATACACGGGAAGTACCGCCAATGTAACTTTGCTTCATCGGGTTGGCAAACATTCTGGATGCAGTGGACTTCTTCGTGTGTCCATCCTGATTTCTTCATCTTCGCAAATGGCGTAGGTCGTCGATTTCGGCAGCGAGGCGAATGTCAGCGCCATCGCAGCCAAGGAACGGCAATTGTGAATTGGGCAGTTCGCTGCTAGTTGGGTCACTGCAAGTAGAACTCACTCGACTTTCTCGTTTCTGTGCATCGCAGACTGGATAGATGTTGCAATCTGTTGCTGTTGCCGTACCGCCAAGCCCTTACTTGTATGGTCCTTTGTACACTCCTGCTGCTGAATATTGCCATCTTGCTGCGAGGGCGCAGAAGACCTGCGTATCGGCTTCCTGCGCCGGTACCTGAGTCGACTCACTGTGGTTCGTGCAGGCATGGGGTTCGCAAACACACGTTGAGATCCAGAATCTAGGAGTCCGGAGAGGAGGTCGCTCAGTGTTCAAGGCAGAGGTCGCAGAAGCTAGTGGCATGAACAAACGCCTTGCTTGTCGATGGCTTCCAAGCTGCAATGTCTGACAGCCTGGTCTCTGTGGGCCGTACTGGGAGGAAGATGGAGAAATGCCCTCAGCTTCAGCACGCAGTGTGGCGCAAAAGCCCCCCAGGGCTTCTTTGACAGAGCTCCGAGTGCCCGAGCCCTGCAGCCTGACCTCCCGAGCACACTCCCAGGCTCTGGAACTGTTCGTTCAGGAGGCAGTGAGATTGGGTGCAGGCCAGGTGGATCAAAGCGCTCGGGATTAGGAATGCGCATAACGTGCTCCAGCCAACCGCATGTCCGTCGTTGCCCGGATGTGGTCTAGAAGCATAGAAATCCGCTAGGGTGGCATGCGAGGTCGATGTGCGAGTGATGTGGCAGCGGAACTTTGGAATTACGGTCAATCAAAAAGAATGTCGTCTCGGCTTGTAGGGTCGTACGTGGATGCCAGGGCACAGGGTTCACGATTCGCCTGTCCCTTCTACTTGGGGCTTGGAATTTCAGGGTCAGGGATCCTGTTAGGGAGAATGTTTCATTGATGTTGCGAAGTCTTCCTCTCTCCGGGAGTGCAGTCTTGAGTCATGCACATTCTCAGAGGCATGGGCAGGTTGGCTGATCGCTGCAGATGGTACCTCAATGCCAAGAACTTTCTTAATGCCAAGCACTTTGGTGCGATGAATCCTCAAGAGAACCGGTTTGGCTCTCAAGCCGTGCTTCTTGCTTTGAGGTCGAAGGTATTCCTCTCTGGCTCTCCAGAATGATGAAGTCTAGTTTAGTTTATGAAGATTCGAGTCGGGATCCTGTCAAATGTCGACTTGCCATCGTAAAGGTATTCTTCAGGGTCCTTTGGTGCAGTAGCTCCATGTATGTCAGGGGATACTACTTCACTTGATTTACTGACTTTCCGTGTGCCACTGCACCTGGGGCTCGTGCTGCAAACTCAAGCAGCGAGCATGCAGGGTGCGAGCCACCATTGCCGCCAGTGTTCTCATCCTGAGGCGGAACGTCCAGCGCTTAGCAGGCTTAGCTTTCTGGGACTCGGTTGCAGGGAAAGGCCCATGGACGCACTTCGGCAGGCTGAATCTCCAGATTTCAAGGGTTTCTCTCCAAGCTACGATCAGTATACGTAGGTGCGGGTACACGGAAAAAGCATGCGGCTCCGAAATGCATGAGCGCCAAGCTAAACGTGATGCCCGATCCCATCTACCTGCAGTGCTTTGGGTTTCTTCTCACAACCTTCGTCCTGTCGAATTGTTGCAAGATGTTACAAGAGTTGCATCATGCCAAACGACTCGCCCTTGGAATTTGCACTTGATATCGTTGTCAACTGTTCTTCTCGGACAGACCTGCTGGCACAGATGACCTGTGCATGCACACGATGTGTCGAGCACCAATGCGCATGATGCTACATGTTTGCAACCTTTTGCTTTGAAGACTCGGCGCACCGGTCAGGTCGAATTCCGTCACGCTGTGGAGCAGCTCCGCAAGGATCCCGCAGCTTTGGGCTTCAATCTGTGACTTTGGGTTTCAGGTTGTTAGGGACGGAAGGTTGACTGTGGGGTGCTCTTTACTTCAGACTGCTCAGCCCACCAAGAAGATCCATGCAGGATTTCCGCTTTAGATTCCCTGTTGCCCTGTCTGACAAGAGCTAAATCTTTTAAAGAGCAGTACCAAAGCGTGAGCCTTGTCACTGCGTTCGTTGCTACTCGTGCGGCTCGTGTTCTCCGTCGGCCTTCCTATTGAAGTCACTCGAAGCAGGTGGCTTTAGAAAAGGCCACTTTGCAACACTTCGCTAGCAGCAGCCGCCCAACAGCATATCAAACGGGAGAGTGGAATGTGGCGGCCAGGAAGTTGCCAAGACAGCCGCGGAGCGGGTTCAGGTCGCACTTGACGATGTCCCAGGCATGGACCTCGCTGGGCCATACCCCAAATGTTAAAGGGTCATGTCAAACTCGGCTAAACACTCAAGTTGTCCTTGTAAAATTCTGGCCCTGCGCATCCCGAATCCGGAGCCCTGAAGATGAACATTCTGAAACCGAAAATGTGTGCATAATGTATTTGTACATAGTACACACACACACGTACTTAAGTAAATGCAAACTTACTTACATACCCATGACCCATGTGCGCACGCACGTACATACATGCATGAATGAATGCATACATACATCCACTCACCTACAGACAGAGACAGACGGACGGACCGCCGACCGACCGCCCGACGGAACGGCAAACCGACAGAGACAGACACAGACAGACAGACACAGACAGACACAGACAGACAGACGGACAGACGGACAGACAGACACACATACAGAGTAGTTGTACACACATGACCACGGTAGAGTTGATAGCGTAGTCGTCGTAGTAGTAGTAGTAGTAGTAGTAGTAGTGGTAGTAGTAGTAGTAGTAGTAGTAGCAGTAGTAGTCGTCGTCGTCATAGTAGTCG